GTATTAATGTATGCTAATATCAAATTTTATAATATCGTTAAAGATCCATCTGATTGTCTGGTACTAAGAAAAATTTAGACAGTTTGAATGAATACTGCTTTTTGCATGGATTGATGATCAATATCCTAAAATGTAACGTAATGTGTTTTTAAACGGGGCTTAACATAAACGTAATTAATCATTCCTATAAGTTGCATGGAAATTGTATTAATAAAGTTAACAGTATAAAAGATCTTGGGGTTATATTTCAATCTGATCTATCTTTTGCTCAGCATGTCGACTATGTTGCTGGGAAAGCCTTGAAATAGTTAAGATTCGTGAGAAGGCATTCGGCAGAATTTATTAAAATATTAATTTATTCACTCATAAGGTCATATTTGGAATATTGTTCTATTACTTGGTCACCATATGATTAAATTCATATTGAATAGCTTAAAGGAGTGTAATGTATTGTTCTTTTAAATTGACACTTCTGTACTCTTATACAAATATGCTTGCCACAAGAAATAATGAAACGTTAGCTTCCCGAAGAGAATTTATTGATTTTCTATTTATCTTTAAAGTGGTAAATGGCCTTGTTGATTCTCCTGAACTCTTGCAAAGGGTAGATTTTTATATCCCACCTAGGCCGTTGCGTGGTAGTTGCACATTTGCTTTGAAAGCTCGTAGAACTATGGCCCAGGAATTGGTATGATCAGACTTCTGAGAAATACTAATACATTTGCGGCAAAACAAAACACTAATATTTTTAACTCTTCCCTGTATCAAGTGAAAAGAGCTGTGAAGTAAAAAAAAATATGTTAGATTTACATATTTTTTATTATAGACAGACATTGAGCGCTCCACCGCTGGTGCGTCTGCAGCAAAGTATTTCTATGTTCTATAAGGTAAGAATGAACGAAAAGTTTGTGTAAATGTGTACTAAAAAAAGTCACTGGGTCCCCTACTATATTCTTCACCGTATGATTGGACTATTTGTTTTCAATTAATAAATTCATGTGCCTTATCTAACAGAAAGTCAATAATTTATGCTGATATAAACTACAGTTTTTTCCCATTAACCACGATTTAACGAAAATAAAGTCTCTAAGAAATCTCCATGAGTATTAAAATAATTATTAGATTTTAGGAATTCGTATTTAATCCAAATTGACGTTATACCATTTTGACAAGGTAAAGTAATATGCTATATTAGTGTGATGTAAATTTTGTCCCACAGACAGTTAACTTTTAACAACAAACTTGAACTTGACATTTGTTTTTATTAATATTGCTTGCAGATAATAAAAAGGTATGTAACCAAATCACTTTTAATGTTTAAATGAATATAATCTTGAAAACAATAGAAATAATGCAATATTTTGGAAATAAATCAAAGTTCTTTGGTAATATCGGTCACTTAGTTTTTATTTAAAGGAACAACATATATTTCGGAAAACCTAATGTTTCCACCTTTTGGTGCAGTCACAGTAACAAAAAAAAAAAAAACATTGACGTACATAATTAACAGTTAAAAGTGTTAAAAGAAAGTGTTTTAAGAAGTTGATAGAAGTGCTAGAAGAACGTAAAATTTAAGGACAGACAATTAAAATAAAATATATCAACCAGGTACCTAAAATAATCACCTTTAAATCTGATCAAAAAAACTGATAAATCCTACTCTCCTAGATAATACATTCCTTTACACTTTACACCAATGCCAACTCCATGTTTATATAGTTGGATGAACTGAAATTAAGGGTTATCAACACAACTCCTACTTTTATTTTAATAAGCGAAACTTGGATGAATGACTCAAAATTATTTATGTAAAGGAAGAAATCAATGGCACTAAGATAACAGCCTGTGTTATAAATCGCTTGTTAATGATACCCTCAATGAATACAGTGTGGCTGGATGTTCAGATTAAAAACCAGAAATTATTAATGGGATGACTTTACAGACCAGGTAAAATCAAGAGGGATGAAATCTTAGAATTTATTAAGCTAATTAAGCAAGTAGCTAATGATTTCAAAGAAAACACTATTTTATGTGGTGATTTTAATTGCCCAGAAATTGATTGGAACACCTTAACACTAACTTCGCAGGATTAAAAGCCATAGATTTCCTAGATGCGTACAAACAGATAAATTTAAAATAACTAGTTACCTTTCCAACGAGGAAACGTAATGATCAAAAATCGCTACTAGACTTAATACTAACTAGTAGTGATGGGTCGCACGGATAAGTCTGCAAAGTCCAAGCAATTTTCAAAAGTGTATTGCGCATGCGCGAAATTAAACCAATTTGTTCGAATTTCTTCCTTTTTTTTGGGCTATATCCTACAGGACAATTTACGCAGCTATCAAAACGGGAGAGTATCGTTGTCTTGCTCTCGGCAATTGGATACCCTCAAGTAATATAATTAAAATATGTATTTGAAACTTCTTCACAGGATGCATAATCCCATTAAGGGGATCCTCTAGTTTCTCGGTTGTTTTTTACGGCTTTTTTCAATAATTTTTTACGGGCAAACCATCGAAATAACAAATCTCATTGTTTTTACATAATCTTTATTGACACTTAAATGAGCTTTACAAATTTTTTGAAGGAGGTGCTTGACGGTGGTGACCACGATATTTCAGAAACTACTGCACCGATATTGTTCACATTTATACGACATCTTTAATATGTTATAAGCCAGCGATTGAACTAGGATTATCATGATTGCTTTGATAGTTTTTTTCTACGAGCGAGAAACTTAAGAAAACGAGTAAAAAATAGAATTTAATTTTCAAAAGTGTATAAAAAAATTGATTTTTGTAAAGAGGAAACTCACATTTCTAAAATTACAAAAAAGGCAAACACAATGATTGATCTAATCAGAATTGCTGTCACAGATCACTCAAAGAAAATGATCTCCAAACTCTACAAAACCTATATAAGACCCAAAATAGAATTTGTAATGCCAGTTTGGAACTAAAAGATGTAGATTCTAAAATATTAATCACTGATCCCTCAGAGATAGCTGAAAGGTTGCCTAAACAGTTCAAGAGTGTCTACAACCAAATCCCTGGAAACAACCTTGCAACTCTAAAGAATAATTTATAACCACCGTAACGTAACTTAACGCTGTAGAAACTTAACGTAAGATATAAAACTAAAGTCTATTTATAAATGTCCGTAACGTAAAAGTTGAGCATGCGTGTTGAATTTCAGAGATCAAATTATAGACAACCTTATGAAATAAACAAGTGTAAACTATGTACCTAACCTCTAAATAAAACCCATAAATTATGATTTTGCTATATAGGAGGAATATATTAACTACTTTAAAAGCAGTAATATAAAAATATAATGAAACAGAATAGTTTACTGAAGATGTTGATTGTTTTTGAGTAATAATCAGAATTTAATCTTCTCTAGCAAAATAGTTTTGTGTATGTAGAAACTCATCTCTCATAAATATTTTATTGCCAATAACATAAACACAAAACATTCAAACGTAAACATTCACGATATTGTATGTCCATAAAAAAATAGAATGATATTTTACAAATGGTATTTGTCCAATCATTTATTAAAAAAAAAAATAAGAAAAAGAATAGACAGTTATCACATGCTGAACTCAGGATTATCTCATTGGCTGACCATAAGGTCTTAAGTTGTTAAGTTAAAAGTTGGCGAACTTTCTACGGTACGTTAAGTTCTTAAGTTACGTTACGAACATTTATAAATAAGTATACGTAAATTCAACGTCTTACGTTAAGTTCTTAAGTTAGGTTACGACGGTTATAAATTAAGCTTAAGAACTCCTAGGGGAACTTCAGATTTAGTTACGGTGTTTTTTACTCCTGAAAAAGTTAGTGAAGCTATCCGCTGTCTGAAAACTGATAAAATACCTGCTATTTTCTTACAAAAATGTGTTGAATCGCTAAAAGTACCTTTGAAATGATAAATATTGGAAAAAGTCCAAAGAAAGGTAACTAGAATCCCTCCAGAGCTTCAAGGCTGTAGCTATTTGGAAAGGATTTCCATTCTGCAACTCCAAATACATAAAGAACGTAGACTTAGCGGTGACCTGATCGAAACGTTCAAATGAACTATTGGGAATTACTCTTGTAAAAATATTTTTCATGTTCATCAAAACAGAACACACAGAGAGCATTCCAAAAAAGCAGGAAAAATGAAATTGCAACAAGCTCCAAAGAAACAATTATTTAAGCAACAGAGTGATATATACTTGGAACAACTTGCAAGAGGACACTATCGTATAGAGTTCAGTTAACCTGTTCAAGAATCGTCTAGATAAAGAATTGACAAATGCTAAGGGCCCACTATACCAATTGATCTTTTGTGATAAACTGTGATATAGGTTAATGTATTGTGATAACTGCTCTGTTATATCTTAATGTTTTGTACTATTTAGTTAATGAATATGACTTTTCAATGCTAGATCAGTCTCATCGGTTTTACCGCTTATTGACCTTTATTAATAATAATAATAATAATATTGTATAGGTGTATTGGAAAAATTAATATTTGGTTTTCCAAACATATGTTGTGCTTTTAAATTAAAACTAAATGACCGATATTACCAAAGAACTTTGGATTTATTCATAAAAAATTCTATTATGGTCAGGGAATTATCCTCTAAGAAATAAAATATTAATTAATACCTGTAAACTCTATTTTTATAAATATTCTATCACTGTAATTATTACTGTTAATGGGACACAAATTATATCATCATTAATATGGCGTATAATAAATATAAATGTGATCGACTTAATACATTTGGTCTTATTGCATTATGCAAAACAGATTGCATAAATAGACTTTTAACCTTTTTTATTAAACTATATAAAAAAAATAATGTCGAATAAGTAACTTCTTATAATTACTAATTTTTTTTAAAAATTCGTTAATAAATTGTTCCTTTAGTCTTCGCGTTTTACGGAAATTGACCCTATTATCAAAAGTGATATTATACATTTCATAAGGCCACTTTCAGTTCCTTATTAATGCAGCGCTGCCGTAGGAATCCACTGACTCTTCCTATGTTCCGCGTCGACAGCTGCCTTGACTTGAGCGCAAATGTGAGCAACGTTTGCGCCCGCCGAGACGACGGCGCTCACCAAATGTCGATACTCTAGTTCCAATTTGTGTCCGTGCTCAAACATCTCCTTCGCCGCTTTACCGGATAGCTTATCGATGCTATACCGCGCGTCTTTTACCTCTCGTATCTGTTTCGTACTTTTAAATTTTATTAGCAACACCACCGGATAAATGTGATGTCGATGTAGACGTTCTACCATTGTTATGGAACCATCCAGCATGCAATGCAGGCGACTTTGAGCAACCTAGAATCAATTATTTTATTATTACAAATTACAATATAAAAAAGTTGTAGTCAATCATTTAGCAGATTATCTATACCTCAGTTATGATAGTTTGCAAACTGATGTAATTCAAAACTTGTGGCAATATGAAGTATGTTGACATATTATGTTCAGCGAGGTGTTAATCAAATACAAAAAAAAATATTTTGTATAAAACAAAAAGCTTAGCACTATTTTCATCTTGGAATTCAATAATGTCTTTTTATTGATTACAAATTAATGTCGACACATTTTTAACACTTTTCCCCACGTTTCTAATCATTTTAAATCAGAAAAAGTAAAAAAAATGTATTTGTATGTCTGTGTGTCAACAGAATAACTGTAGATTGACTAGCGGTATTGATTTTCTTTGATAATTTTTTAAAACTGAGAACCTTATTGATTTTCAGAATTTTTGGTTTAACTTTGGTGCTTTAAATATGTTTGTAAGGAGCATTTTGATACTTGTTAGGATATTATTTTTTCGTATATTTATATTTATTATTCAAACATAGGAAAGATAATAAATATTGTTATTTTTTTTATATTTATATTTATTATTCAAACATAGGGGAGATAATAAATATTATTACTATCTGGGATTTTTATTTCATATTTAATATTTAAAGGGACTTTTCGAGTGCACCTTGTACGAATAGTCGAGATATTACATATTAAATCACATTATTATTCAGAGAAGGTATCTTCGTCTCCATCTGTGCCTGAATTATTATTTTGGAGGGGATCATTAGTACTTTTTAAATAGTTATAAAATGCCAAATCAGATTTTGGCCAGTTGCATAACATTTTTATAACAAGTATTTTTTTCATTAAATTGGACAGATTTTTACTTTCCTATCTGTATACAGATAAGGAAAGTATAGGAATCATGATTTTTTCGACCTCCAGTTTTCGACGGATTTTTACGTTTTGAGGTCCCCTGAATCCGTTTTGACTATTTTCGGGATGGTGTGTATGTGTGCGCGCGCGTGTGTGGGTGTATGTGTGTCTATATCAACCATAACTCATGAACCGATACAAATAAAAACACCAAATTTTAAACTTAAGCTTTATTCCGGCCTCCAGTGAACTGATTAGATTTTGGGCAGAGTCGGAATATTTGGGAGGTACTTTATAGGGGGTCATTTTAATATTTTATGGAATATATCCGTTATTTACGTTTGGAGAAGAAAATTCTTTAAATAAAAGTTACTTACAATATTATTATCTATAATTTTTCTTTACCTAAAATGGTCTATATTCGAGAAATTTGACAAAATGTAAAAAAAAATATTTTTTATAAAAATTGTACAAATAAAAGTTGTTTGTAATATAATTCTCTATAATTTTGATCCCATACATAATTTCTCTAAAATGGACCGTATTCGAGATATTTGAAAAAAATGTGTAAATTTCGAATTTTGAAGAAAACTCAAAAACGGATAAAGGAAAAAACATTTAATTTTAAACTTAAGTTTTATTTCGGCCCGAGGTGAAATGATTAGATTTTGGGCGAAGTCGGAACATCTGTGGGGGTACTTTATGGGAGGCCGTTTTTATAATTTATGGAATAAATATTATAGAAAAATGTTTCGAGTTAGATGTATGTGGAAAATATATATATTTAGTTTATCCTTTAAACATTTATAGAGGTGCTGCAATAGGTTGTACAAAATAACCGGAAAAAGCTTATAATAACTAGATAGGAAAGTCATGTGTTGGACACATCGGATTTTTTAAAATTCAGTAAAGTAAATTTCTGAAATAATAAAGATCCACAAGCTGTCTTGCTACATTGAATTTCATCTGAAAGTTCTGAATACAAAAAAACTCGGTAAGTAGAAACAGCAAATTTTTCCTTATTAGGATTTCTGGCACTTGGAGTGAAAATTCCTTTACAAGAGAACAAAAATCATATATCATATTTTGCATAACAGTTATAACTTTAAATTTTAACGAAGCGTTTTTAACTAGTTTGTGATATTCCTGGGGTAAGTAAATACGTTCCACTAACCTTTTTTCTTTTCAATAATACCAAATGATCTGTCACAAGGTAAAAAGCTGTGACCAGGTTCAGGAAATCTATGTGTTGTGGATTCAAATTTTTGTATTTTGCACAACTTTTCCAAGTAACGGACCATTACATTGTTTTTATTTTGTGCCCAGCAGTTGTCCGAAAATAAGTAAAGCTTAATTTATTTGTAATAGATCTAAGAAACTGATAACTTAATTGGCTCCCTTTTTGCAGTTGTTTCGTCATACATGTAAAAATGAGACGATTTGTTTTTAGCGGAATGAATACAAAAATTGTACAGCCACAGCTGTCGTAGGTAGAATGCATCTGTAGATGGATGGCACTTTTGGTAGTGGCAAATTCTGTTGAAAATCGAAGCAGAGAGAATCCTCTAGGCGACGATGCATGAAGCGGCGCAATGCCACAGGTAGGTAAAAAAGGGATAAAAGCCCTCGTACAGAAAAAGTCGGGAGCTGTTCGTTTTGTAAATTCATCCCACCTGACTTTCCTCTTTTATATTTGAAGAGTCGCATTTTAATCAAAGTGAGGTTATCGAGTGATGGTTTAATATTTAGAGATAGGTATTGTAGCAGCTTATTCTTTATTGTTCTTAAGGTGAATTGTTGGCTAAATGCGGCATTAGAGCTTTACTTATCGATTAAGGGTATTTGTTGCAGCGATTTAGTGATTAGCTAATGTATATTCCACTAACTTAGGTTTATATCGTGGGTTATAGGTAGATATTATTAATTTAAGTTACAAAAGGAAGTTTTCAACTATTTCGAGTGGTTTGTTTCGTTTCAAATCAATGGATTACTGATTACTGGGTTAGATTTTTTTTGCAAACCCTATTGCGGTATTTAGGTAGCAATTTACCTTCTGAGAAGATTGAAAATTGTCTCCATTACTTATCGCCATAAAATGTTAAACCTGGTTCACTGATAATACAGCGGAAATCAAATGGCTTTCAAATTGCTATTTTTACAAAGCTCTTTCTCTCATTATTTTATTATTTTTGGTGGGATTTTTTCATATAACCTACAGGATTATTGAGCACATGAGATTTTGTTTGTCAAGCTCTTGTCAAAATCCACTATAACAGTGGATTATTTTTTTGCAATCCTTATTTAGGGATTAGTTTAATGTAATTTAAATTTCTGGCAACCGTGGGTTGTTTTATTGTGGAAATCATTTATTTTAAATGATTTTAAGTATCATAAATCAAATTTCATATAGCAATTTATAATTTAGGGTACGTTCCAAGTGGAGTAATTAATTTTTAATTAATTTCTTTTCAAATTTATTTGTGATACCACTTCATGGTTTTGAAAATAATCTGGGGTGTGATTATTTAAGGGAAACTTACATTATGTAAAGTGGGTTTATTTTTGGCAATGAATATTAGCTATTTCTAAGTAATTTAATAATTTTGGTGTTTAACCGTACCAATTAAGCTTAACCTTTCATTAACTTATTTAGTTTTAATAAATGTTTCTTCCACATAGGTGGATGTTATAATTGCAGACTAAAAGGTCTAGGATCTAGTCGTGGGTATATTTCTGGGGAATAATAGCATTCCTTATTTATGTATTTTTTTCATAGTAATCTCTTGGCAATTTACGTAACCTCAGAGACCTTTTAACCACCACAATAAATCGTAATAAACTGTAATAAATCGTAATAAACTGTAATAAATCGTAATAAATTGTAATAAATTGTAATAAATTGTAATAAATTGTAATAAATTGTAATAAATTGTAATAAATTGTAATAAATTGTAATAAATTGTAATAAATTGTAATAAATTGTAATAAATTGTAATAAATTGTAATAAATTGTAATAAATTGTAATAAATTGTAATAAATTGTAATAAATTGTAATAAATTGTAATAAATTGTAATAAATTGTAATAAATTGTAATAAATTGTAATAAATTGTAATAAATTGTAATAAATTGTAATACATTATAATAAATTACAAAAATTGTAATAAATTGCAAAAAATTGTAATAAATTGCAAAAAATTGTAATAAATTGCAAATAATTGTAATAAATGAATGAATGATAATAAATTGCTAAAAATTGTATTAAAATGTATTACATATTTTTCCATGTCTCTCTTAAATGTCAAATACAATACAATATAAATTGACACATTTTAACAACTTATAACTCGAAAACGGAAAAAGATATCGAGATGCAATTTTCACTAGACCTTTTACATTTACTTCTAGTTTTTCTTGACATTGTTGTCACATGTAATTTTTTTCTGGAAAGTGCCGAAAAAAAAAACGAACTTTTTTGAATCAAAATTGTGAGCTTATTTTAAATAGAACACCCTATAATTTTTAACATCCTCGGAAAGACCATTTCTTTCCCTTTCCAAAAATGTATTCATTGAAAGCATTAATTCAATTTTTTTGGGAAAAATTTACTTTTTTATGAAACCATGTCGATAACTTTTAAACGTAAAGTATCACAATTTAAAAGCCTTTAACTCGATAATGTGACAATTTATTGATAAGAGGTTTTGACTAAAATTCTGGGAAATGTTTAATTTTTTTATAAAATGGTTGTAAAGTCTCAAATGTCTAAAATTTTCGTAAAAGATTACTTTACCAATTCAGATTAAGGGCTTATGATGAATAAAATTCTTCGTATTTGTAACGTTTATTTGCAAGCCTTTATCCATAAATCATCATTTAAAAGAATGTCTTAAGCGTTTTCAATATGTACCTATATCTGTTTTTTTTGTCTATTTAATATTCCTCTTTTTGTAAATTAACTCACTCAGCTTTGGATAGAATATGAATGAGTCAATAAATGATACTACTAATTTATCAAGGGTGCTATGTAAAACAAATCGAGTTGACAGAAGTCTATATTTGTATTAATTAGTGCAAGAGAAAGCAGGTATTAAAAAATGTTTACCAAAAGTGAAAAAGCCCGGTGCGTTTTACTTTATATTGAAAGTAGATCAATTACACATACACAAAGAAGATTTACAAATATGTTTGAAAAAAATTCACCAACCAGAAATTCTATTTTAAACTGGGTAAGTCAGTTTAAAGAAACGGGAACATTAGATAGAAAAAAAAAGACAAATTGAAAACGCTCAAGATATTATTTTAAATGATGTTATACAGATAAGGGAAATTTTAGCAAGAAACAATAATAAAATATCTATTAGAAAAATTGCCCAATCCATACATATGTCAAGTGCATAAAATTTTAAAAGTAATCAAGTTTAAAGCATATAAGCTTCAGACTTTTCATAAAATTGAAAATCATGCATTTGAAAAGAGAGTTTTTATGTGTGAGACGTTATTAGATTTATTTAGACATCAACCAAATGTAAATCTAATAATGTCAGATGAAGCAACGTTTCATTTAAGTGGACGCGTAAACAAACACTGTAGGATTTGGGGTGACGAAAATCCTAGAGCTTTCAACGAGTTTGAAAGAGATGCTCCCAAGGTAAATGTATGGCGTGGTGTGTCCAAAACCAAAATTTATGGACCATTTTTCTTTCAAGAGGAAACAGTATATGGAAACAATTACACGGGTATGCTAGAACTATTCTTTTATCCTCAACTAGAACAAAAAGAAATACTAAATACTGTATATTTCCAGCAAGATGGTGCTCCACCGCATTACTTTCTTGTAGCCAGGAATTCTTTGAACTCAACCTTTGGAGATAAATGGATAGGTCGGGCTGGTCCCATCGAATGGGCTCCATATTCTCCGGATTTAACTATACTAGATTTTTTTATATGGAGGTATATTAAGGAAAGATGCTACGATCCAACACCTACAAACTTAACTGAACTGAGGAATAATATAATTCTTGTGTTTAATACAATTACCCCAGAAATGCAGCAAAATGCGTTTACAAATTTTTTAATGCGTCTGCATACATGTATTGAACAAAATGGAGGCCATATTCAACAATTAATTTATTAATGTTTTAGTACATATTTTTTGTATTCAATAAAAATTCAGATAGGTACCAACATGGTGGGACACCACTTACGCCACAAAAATCCGTGTGGTATGAAGTGCTCCCCTCTGTCTTTATAAGTAAAATATCATTACTTGATATTATTCTGAAATTTATACCTAGGGACAAGGCAATGAAAAACAGTATCTTATCAATGATCGTTCGATGTAAAACGTCAATTTATATTTCGATATGTGCCACCAAAATGTAATAGACACCGTTAACATTGATTTAATTACCTAAAATTAAAACCTATTAAAGCAATTAAAAAATTATAAAAAATTGACTTTTTTTAAAAGGCGAAGAAATAAACTATCTAATGACTATGAGAGATACGAAATGTTTCATTCGCCATAAGACCTTAATCTGAATTTAATTTTTTTTACGAAAACTTTACAAGTTTAAGATTTGGCAACTATGTCAGAAAAAAATTTAAACATTTCCAAGAATTTTGGTGAAAACATTTTATCAATACATTGCCTTACTCCCAAATTATAAGTTAATTAATTGTGATACTTTACGTTTGGAAGTTATTGACATGGTTGCATAAAAAAGTGAATGTTTCCCTAAAAAATAAAGTAAATGCTTACAATGTATACATTTTTGGAAAGAAATGGTCTTTCCGAGGACGTTAAAAATTATAGGGTGTTCTATTTAAAATAAGCTCACAATTTTGGTTCAAAAAAGTTCGTTTTTTTTTCGGCACTTTCCAGAAAAAAATTACATGTGGCAACAATATCAAGAAAAACGTGAGGTAAATGTAGAAGGTCTAGTGAAAACTGCATCTCGATATCTTTTTTAATTCTCGAGTTATAAGTTGTTAAAATGTGTCAATTTATTTTATTAATTATTTATTGTTATTGAAAGTGATAAATGAAAATAATAATTTTAAGATATTAAATAAATGTGGATCTTATTTGAGTTACATACATGATGATGAAGTAACGATAATTTTTGCACGCCCTTCAACGAACTCCAGAATGGAACTCGTATCTACATTTGATATCACGATCAAAAAAATAAAGGGCCCAAGTATTATTTGTACATGGGCAGGCTTAAGGGGTAAATATTCATAATGTTTTCACAAGAAGTTAAGGGATAAAAGGCCAAATATTTTTAAATGGGCAGGCGTACAAATATTGTTATATAGGTAAAGGCCTATGGTAACTGGATCTTCAGATAAAAATATTGATAGAACCTTTTGTTATTACTCTTAGTAACAACGATAGCGGTTCTGTTGATGATTCAACATCTGAAGTCGATGATTTTTTCTTTGATTAGGTTTATTTTGATTTCAACCAGGAGTGATGCGAAATGTACCAATAGTTATTTAAAAAATATATACACGCCATTGAACAATTATTCCCCTCTTTCGACCATTAAGCTTCACACATTCATTGATAGTAGTGACTGATGACGTCAGTTTGCAAACTTTCAGGGACTGAGGAAACAAAGATATCTGATAGAGAACTTTGTTTACATTAAGTTTGTCCACAACATAATCCCCAAGAGACATATTCGTTATTATCTCTAAAAATTATTGTATGAAATTTCGTTTAAAATGTTTAATAATAATGGGTACTCCATATTAAAAAAAAAAAAGAATTGAAAGTTTTTTTTATTCATTACAAACACTTAATCGTTTCATTTGGCGATTTTTAAAAATTCTGGTTCATATCTTTTAAATTTGGCAACCTAAGACATTCTCTTGAGAGCGCCCAGTGTAAGCTTAAGTTATATTGTGATTAAAAGAAATATTGTAGATACACATTTTAAAATAAAAACAAAAACATTTAGCAATTACCACGACCTGCATTAATTGGGTCTAAGTAAGAAATTACTGAATCTGCAAATATTTTGTATGTATAAAATCGTCGCTGATTACTGTTCTAAGAGAGTTGCTTATACCTTTTTACAATGTCCAAAAATAAAGTTGTTTTATTGTTTTTATTAGGTTTTTATTTCATAAAGAAATGTAGGTACTCAGCAATATAATTATTCTTTCGACCCATAGATAAGGAAACCAATTAGACTAGAATAAAAAATCGTAATTTAGCACAAAAATGTTACTCTAATTTGAGCTACTATTTAATCTATAAAAAGTCCTGTGCATATTAAAAATTATTTTTTTAAATTCACCTTTGATTCACTGGACCATTGAACTTGTCTGATTTGAACATTAAACGATTTTTATAAAATATAAATGAACCTTCCCGAAACCGTACGCCACTGTGTGTTGTGCCCCACAACCCCGTTTTCTATCTGGCTTATGTTGCGGACAAAACATTGTATCGACACTGTGAAGGTAAGTCTATCTCAGGTAATATATCTAAGGGTATAAATAAGTAATGGCCGTAAATGTTGAATTAAAAAAACGAATAAACAAAATTACCGATCTGACAGCCGAAATGGTAATGCACTCGTAACAAGACCCTCTTCTTCGATATTCAAGAATCAATCCTTCGGCCAGTTCTCTATCGAGTTGAGCTTGAGAACATCGCCTGGATTCCGAAGCAGCCTTGTTAAATTTATCGGGAAAATCTTGAACCAATTTATCAGCTACGCATTCGGCTAAAGGTCCGAGGACGATCACAGGACGGAATTCGGGATATTGCAAACGTTCTACTCGTTGGTAAGACGATTGGGATAAGTCCTCGTGTAATGAACCTAATTAAAAATGTATTCATTGTTTTTAACGATTTAAATAATTTTGATCTTAAATAAATTATAACAAATGACTAAAATTAGTTAGGATGTAATTTTGGTTTCACTGACAATTAGTGACAGTGGACTTTTTGAATGCGTTTTATTAGTTTTGTTTACCTAAAGTATAGAATTTTGATCTTTTATAAATCTCAAGTAAGTATAATAATCGTTAAATAACTAATTGCATATTCAAAAACTATTTGTATGACCTCACAATATTAAAAAAAAAAAGTAAAAACGTATATTATGTCAAATTCAATGATGTTTTTGTTAAAAGTTTCTTTAGAAGTTAACTATTTTTGAAAATTACGTTACAATAATATGGCGTATTTATAAGCCTTGCTTGGCTGAGATGCTCGTCAGAGCGCGACAATGAACGAAAATCGAAGTTTGGCTATAACTCCCAACTAACATTTTTTGTTTTATAACAATAATTGTAACGTTTCTATTACCTTTTCTATAAAATCTAGGAACCTATCAATTATTCGTGAAACGTAATCGCTACTCCTATAAAACCCCTGTAACACATAAATGAAGAATGTTATAAAGGCAACTGTGACGAATTTTCAATACCAAATGAAACTTTTTTTTACATTTCATTTATTTTATTTCACCTTATAAGAAAATTGTACAAAAAATTATACAACGTTTATCGTGACACATATCATGGTAATTATAAAAATACATAAAGTTATATACCTAAAAGAAAAATTATAAAAAAAAACATACATAACAAAAACATGAATTATATAAAATATTCTTCTATGGAATAGCAGTTTTTCTAATAAAAAGTTTTTTTTTTACATTAGACTTAAAAGTAAAGAGATTACTGTTATTCTTTATGCCCTCTGGAAGGATATTATAAAATTTACAACAAAACTGTCGTACGGTGTCCAGGTATTAGTAATTGGCTTTTGTTTCTTGTGTTATAGTCACGAGAAGCACGCCAGCAACATATATTGATCTGTTCTTATCAATGAAAGTACATGCTTCTAATATATATACCATAGCCAGTGTCAGAATTTTAATTTTTTTAAAAAACTCTCTACATGAATCTCTTATTCTCAGTTTCGCAATAATTCTTATGGCATATTTTTGAAGAACAAAAACTCTTTGCTTGGTAGAACAGGTACCCTAATTAAGTATGCCATATTTCAAATGAGAGTGAACATTTGCATGATACACTGTTAAGAGTGTGCTTTTACTACAATGATTGGCAAGAAATATAAAACTATAGCAACTTTTTCGTAATTTATTACACAGGTTATCAATATGTGAATTCCAGGTTATGCCATAACCAATAGCGATTCCTAATATTTTAATATTTTCTTCAGATATAATTGGATTATTAGTGTTTTCAATTAATTGGTTTTGTATAAATTGTCCATTATTATTAAATAACATTATATTAGTTTTAGTTTTGTTTAATTTTATGTTATTTTTTCCGACCACGATAAAACTTGATTATATGTTCTCTCTGTTGCCATTTTTAGTGCATTTGCATTATTTTCGATAATTAAAATATCTGTGTCATCAGCATAACAAGTTGGGTATATGCCAGGAATAGCATTCAAGGAAGTGATTAGGTCGTTGGCAAAAACTAAAAATAAAAATGGACTCAAAATCGATCCTTGGGAACCCGTTGTGAAACTTCCAGCTCAAAAATAGGAACATTATTCACTTGAACAATTTGTCTTCTATTTGATAAGTCAAGTGGTATACCTCTTAGCCCATATTTAGACAGCTTAAGCAGTAGAAGTTTATGATCCACACAGTCAAAAGCTCTAGAAAAATCAATAAATAAACCCATTACATGATTCTTACTATCAAGAGATCTTAGTATGGAACTCTATCAATGCAGTCTCTGTACTCTTTTTTGAATTATAACCAAGTTTTGACGGCGATAACAGCTTAAACTTAGTGAAAAAATTACATAATTGATTTTTGATATTCAATTCATATACTTTGGAAAAAGTTGACAAGATACTTATTAGTCTATAGTTATTAAAATCATTCGGATCTTCTTTTTTGTAAATGGGAACTACTTTAGCTAGTTTTAAACAATCTGAAAAAATACCTTTCTCAGTTGATAAATTCAACAAAAAACTCAATGGTTTAGTCAATAGAGCAACACACTTTTTAATTAACTTATTATTTAAGCAACTGAAAGTGTTTTTTAAAGACTGTATTTCTGATACAAGAGCCATATAAAATGTTTTATTATTAGATGTAATATTTTTATTTAAAAATTCTACGTCACAAACTAAGCTATCTATGAGGGGTTTAGTAAAATTAATATTAAATTTATTTGCCAAGTCAGAATCACTTATCTGGTTACTCTGATCATATAATATAAGTTGGTTATTTGATTTGTTGTTGCCTTTTTTGCAATTGCCCAATCACTTCTCAGGTAGCTTTAGTCTTATTTTCAGAGCTTAAAATGAGATTATCATAGTATTGCTTAGAGACCTGTTCTAACCTAAGCCTATAACATTATTTAACATTTTACTAATTTCAACATATAGTCGATCGTGCTTAGCAAGTATTATATAATAACACATCATTTTTTAATTCCAATAAAATTGGCATTCCACCTAATAGTTATTATTAGGCTTTTTATTTTTTGTTTCGGGTCTTCGTGTAACTAACTTTTTTGGAAAGGCAGTTTCAAAATAGGATAAAACAATTTCCGCAAATTGATCATAAGATAAATTGGGACAGGTCTGATCCAAAGCACTAGTCCAATCTTCAGCCCCTAATAGATTATGAAAATGTTCTAAGTTATTTTCAGAATATGAACACGAGACATATTTAACGGCTGGTTTTTTGTTTTTTTGACATAAATTCCTAGTGTGGACATCAATAGAGAATAGTGATCAGATAGACAAAGGTTTACCACTTTTACACTGTACTGATTAGATGTTCTAACAAATATATTATCAACACAAGTTGCAGAGTCTTTTGTAACTCTAGTTGGAGTTCTTACACATATTTCAAGATTAAAATTATACAATAAATCTTCTAATAAAGAAAGTTGAGTACTGGGTTTCATAAAATTTACATTAATATCTCCTCCAATAATTATATTGTAGTTGTTTTCTGAAAATACATAGATTCAAATTTCGTTTAAAATTAACATAAAATCACTAAAATTTCCTCCAGAGGGTATATAAATCACTAAACAAATCGTCTTATATAGAGGAAATTGTATACCACAATATTCTACAATGTTTTTTTTTTTAGAAATTTTTTTGATACCATACTCATTCACTCCTCAGCTGTTTCGAAACTGAGAGGTTGCCGTTACCTTTATAAATCAAATATAATTTTATAAAAAAGTTCCATTGCCATTAAAAAACCCATAAATTCTTTATAAACTCTATTATAAAACTTCGCTACCTACAGTATATATTAACACGAAGAAAAATTGCGCTTGCACATGAAAAACATAGCATCCTACGTTGCTTTTCGTTAAATCTATTTGTATTTCGTTTGCTTACATTATTTTCTATTTCGAATCGTGTTGTATTTTAGAACATAATTTTGTTTCTACTATCTAGAATTATTAGGCATTGTCAATAATTATTGGAAAATTACATTATTGGTATTATATTAATGGCGTGGGTACCTCTAGTAAATTATTACAATAATACCCAAACAGAAACCCTGAAATTCATATGGGACTACTTAAATATGTCACAAAAAATGTATGGTATGGTTTTAAATGCTACCCCCTAAAAATTATAGTTTAATAATGAGGTTTCCAACAATAGTATAAAACCTTCTAATAAAACTTTTAAGTAATCAACAATAACGTATTTATAGATTAAGTAACTGAAACGTTAGATGCAATTTATAAAACTTAGAGTATATTGGTATTTAGGTGCCTTACAAAATTTGTAACACACATGATTTTGTTATAAAACTAGAAAAATCGCAATAAAACTTCAAGTTCCTTATAAATAAATCCTTCATAAATATCATTTATCTTTTAATAAAAGTGTTGCAAAATGCTAGTACATTTTTACGGATTTGTTACTGCCACATCTCTAAAATTCCTTGATATATCTGAAAACGGTTCATAAATATGGACCTAATTTATTTTAATAACATCGATACATTTAAAGTGATTATTTCAGAGAAAAATAATTACCTGAATCCGAATACCAGCCAGGAGAGAGATTACAAAAACTAGCTAACTCTTTCGAATCACGAGAAGTACCTAAACCAGAACTGCCGCTACCACCTCTCTGATGTTTTTTTCTTCTAAAAAAACTGCGCCTTGCTGTCGCTGTAGAACGACCTGGAAAGATGTAAATTTTGTGAAATCATTTTTATCATAACTGTAGAAATATTTTTAAATTTATTTAATTAATTATTAAACAGAAGTAAAATAACAATAAACTATGAAACAATATAGTTATTCTGGGACACAGTGGGCATTCTCCACATGGCGGATTTAGGACGCCAGTCATAGTTGCAAAGTCTAAGAGCCTTTTGTATTTTGAATTATCCCCAATATGTTTGTCATCAAACAAATTCACAATTATTGCTCAAGAACTAACTTATTAAAAATGCATTATTTAATTTGTTTAAAAAATTCTACAGCTTATAATTCATAACTAAATAAACTAAATATCTAGAGAAAGTAAGAAATTAATTCATATATCATATGCATAAACCCAAAAGAATAATAATTTTATCAATAGATGGCACGGTAAGTCGTTAGCATGGTACCAAGTGAAGGACAATATGCGCAAAAATATTAAGTAGAATATTGCATAACCCGTAAAATACTAATTTCTACCTTTTTACAATTCAACAATATGGCATAAAAGAAAAATTATAAATTAATATGTCCACAATCACACCCATTTATAAACAACAACCTTTAATGTCAAAAGCTTCCAAAATGGAAGGCTTAACTTATTAGGTAAGACCTACTTATTTACAAAAATATAATAAACACATAAAAGGACTTCAGACAGTGGTTTTTTAAAGCTCCTAGTTTGGAAGAGTTTTATTTATTCTCTGCCCCCTATGGTCCTATTGGATTGCTTAACTTGCTTGTTAAGTCTTACTTTTTTAATAACAAAGAAATGATCAAAAAAAATTAAATATTGACCGTAGCCCATAGGTCACGAAGTATTTATGGTCAATACTCAGGCCGAGGCAGTAAGTGGTTAATTAACTAAATTTTGAAACAATTTACAGTACTAAATAAATTATAAAGAAAAACCCACTAAAACATTCTGTGTGAAAAAGTATAAATAAAAATGAAAATACATCAGGAACATTCGTTTAAAAAAAGGTAGAATGTTTAATTTAACAAATTAGCAAGCTTAGTGCCACATTAAATCTTCAATATAATATAAAAAATCTGAAGGTAGGGTGTCATCAATAACAGCATTATCATAACCATCTTCCCATCCAGATAAAGTAACATCTATGAAAAACCAGTGAAAATAGTAGCCCAGGTGGGCTAATAAACCAATGGACCCCGAATGTATGGACCAGTGTTCTGGTAAACTGGTGTACTGTGTCCCTAAGGTTGAATCTACGAGTGAAACCCTCAGGTGAATCCACGGTTGAACCCACGGGTGAATCTTCAAGGTGAATTCACGGGTGAACCCTTAAGCTGAATTCACAGGTGAACCTTAAACGTGAAACCTGGAGGTGAATCCTTTCTTGTAAAGGGTACAACTGGTAACTTTCCAAGGTTAAAAAAAAAGAAGTGTCAGTCCAGCAGCAATTATTCTTTAAGAATCCGCTTCAATACTACAAATGTAGGTGGACTTCCAATTTGAAGTCGATAATAACCCCTAAAGCGGGTGTGAAATGGGTTATCACTACACAATGGAAATTTATCTCCAAATTGCTTAATTTCTCCAAAATCCAAAAAACACCCGTATAACTAACAAATTGCTTAAATTTCTCCAAAATCCAAAAACACCCGTATAACTAACTATATTTGAGGAAAAATCTAAAAGGGAAGACTCGAAGGTCACATAAATTATTAAGATTTTTCCCTAGATGACAAATTAAAAATTCCTTGCTTGCTCAATCCTCGAAAGAAACTTGAATAATACCAATATGCCTTAGGGACCATTTACGAGAGAATAACAGAATCCAAGAAACCTGCAAAACTATATCTATGTACAGTAAAACAATTCTAAAAATTGGTCTCCTGTCAAAAATAGATTCAAAAACTGATCGCGAAAAAATCTCCTATCATTAATTACTACATAGGATGTTCGTGAAAATCCCTGTTGAAACATTCAATATATTGGAACATGGAACAATATTTAATTTTAACAATTAGTATCCTGAATTCTCTAGGCCTTACGCAATCCGCGCCACAGCATACGTTACAAATCATGTGAAAACTTACTAAAACGATTGGGTAAGACGTGTAAACGCAAATGACGCTATCTAACCCCGCTTATTTCAGCTTCAGTATCTCTCACAGAAACCACATCGCTTTGTCGTCACCGGCCTTTCACTCAGCCACCCAGGCGTCATAACGCCATTTTGCATTTCTCAAATGATTTCGCCAAAATATTGGCACAAATTTAATACATTTTCTACAGTTGTGCAGTATCAGTATGCAAATATTATATATTTCAAAAATTTCTATTAAAAAGTGTTAATTGTGGCGCAGGCTTTTCATTTAAACAACAACGAGGAAGAAACTCAGCACCTTCCCTGGTAAGCAGTCCATTACAGTCTTGGGAATAAGTAAAATGTAAAGGTACTGGGATACACCAAATCCTGTACTCGTAACAAACCCCTTAGATCATATCAGACATTCCGAACACCACGAACTACAATTATTAGCGAATCGCATCTCTGGAACAGAACGTGAAACGTCAACTAAACCGGACTCGCCTATTGTGAATTTTCCTCTACCTAACATTCAGAACAAAATGACGCCTAAGTCAAACGTTCCATCAATTGACTTTACATAATTCGTAGATTATCATGATTGACAGATTAATAATAACATACATTAATAAAAATAAAAATGATTAATTAATCCCAGAAGAAAACACAGCTTTGTTGTTATTTTATCATTAAGAATTAGTTTTCTCTAGGTAAGGAACAAAACACACAAACGAATCCGTAATGATACATTTGTTTTTTAAGTTAATGTAAAAAAGAGAACTACAAACCAGTCTGGGTCAAAAATACTGCAATTAGGGAAGGATAGAATGTACAACTTAGGTACTACGATTCCTGTCTATTGAGAAGATGAATTAAATAATAAAAATGAGATCAGCAAATTGCCAATACATACCGCTAGTTTACAACAAATAATAGCTTCAAAAGCTTGTATTAGCAATTTAGAATGCTTAACCTTTTTGTGTTCACTACACAGAAGATACGTCTAGTATTTTGAGCTGCCAAATATGCACGTTACATTAGTTGATAAATATAAAAAAAAGATATATAGAAAACCAGCAGTTTTTTCTTGAATATTGGCAATTTTAAGAAAATCACAATGTACATAGGTAAGTTCTGACCTAATTTTTTTACACTCTGTATAATGGATCGAAAACAACCTGCTGAGCTTAAATGTGGTAACTAAAGAAAACACAAATAAATGGAGGAATGATAATGAAATGCAACAAGACACAAGAAGAAAGAAATACCATAGCTTTTCTAAAATTTTCTTATAAAGCTATTAAATAAATCTCTATTTCTAAATATATAAAAATCAACATTAAAATATCGCGTAAACTAAAAAGTACCTCCGAGTCGTTTTAAAATTAAATATACTTACTTTCTGACGGATCACCTGCCCCTCGTCTAAGAAGCAATTCTTCCTCGACTTTATATTTGCTCGGAATAACACCGCATTGTTGACGATGGCCTTCTCCGTCTAATTTCCAAGCACGCCACTGGCCCGGTACTCCGTTAAACATCGTGTTATCGACGTACAGCACTTCGTCTTTCGAGAAAGATAATTGCGGCGGTTCCGTCATTTCGTTGCCGTTACGATCGAAACCGCATCTCACATAAAGGCTATCACCCGGTTTGTCTTTAATCTCATTGTATTCTGAAACGAATGAATTCATCTTAAACCTAAATTTATACAGAAAAAAAAAACTGAATAATTCTACGAATATAGCTGAAGTAGCGTTGTCATAGAAGATCTCTCCCTACCATTCTCTATTTTATCTATTATATTTTCAACTGATTAACTGCTGTTCATACCTTCGACTTGAACCTATTGTCTGTAATAATAAAAGAGTATTTTTAAGATACTTACTATCTATACGATAATGAGCCAAAACGCTGACTTTATCGGCGGGTTTCGCTAATTCGTAAGCCGCTTCTTCAGCCGTAGCTGCCCTAAGATCGCTACCATTATATTCCAGTATCTGATCACCAGTCCTCAAACCGGCGTGGTAAGCCAGAGATTCGGGTTGAACAGAATGGATAAATATTCCAGCAGCGTTGCCACCCACCAAAGATATTCCCAGATTAGAAGTCTTCAAGGTTTCTATGCATAGATATCTCGGATCTTCTTTAGAGCTCCTAAATAATATAAAAAACATAAGTGTGTTAATTTAATTTTTTGCTATTTTTATTTTATTACACCTGCATACTCTTTTGCTTTATATTTAAACTAAAATGAATACAAGCGACGTATTCTATTGGATAATGAAAGATATCAAAATATTTACCTAGAGTTTCCATTGCTGGTTACATTCTGAGACTGCCTTTGAATCACCATCAACTGTGACGGTTTCAATTGCAAAGAGGAACTCTTCCTAATTTCTTTCGGGGAATTACAAGGCGTCGCTTCCGCATCAGCCTCCTCTTCGTCGTCTTCTTCAGATTCTGAAGTTGAACCAGAACAAGTGCCAGTATCGCCTCCGAGTTCGTGATACTTATCCGGACTGTACTGAACCAACATGGTAATGGAGTTACCACACTGCCTGAGAACGTTCGCTGCCAAATTGTAAGTTGCATTTCTCATATTTATCCCACATACTTCTAATAGTTGATCACCAATTTGTAAACCCACTCTGCTGGCTAAGCTGTTTTCGTTTACCGTTGAAACGAATATACCGCCAGTTTTGGGACAATTTATTTGAATGCCTAAGGGTTCGTTGGATTTGTCGATGTGGACCCGCCTTAGTTCGCCTGGTACTGGCTTGTGACCCCAAGGACAGAAATCTTTAGGGGTGGAAGTGAAGGTGCCAGAGTGATCTCCTGGGCTACTAAGGACTTCTACGTGAAAAATCGGCATGGGACTTCCTCGTTCTGAGCTGCCTCTTTCAATACTGCCTGTACTAACCTTGAATAAATAAGATTCCGCTTATTGTTAGAAGATAAGATCGTTACATTCAGTAACTTAACTGAAATTAAAAGTTGTCAGTATGGTACGTAACAACTAGGCAATCAGTGTATTACTTCGAAAAAAGAAAAAATAAATATATGAAGACAAAATTGACAAATCCAAAGCTGTACATCGGTCTTAAACTGCACTATGTCGACATATGAAAGTTATATTCAAAAGGAAAGACTTGTATTTCGTGCAAAACTTTTTAATTAATAAATGCAAAGCGCTTTCGGCTTATTTGCCATCATCAGTGCTTATCTACAAAAATTGTGGATGTAAACTTACAATTTAAAAAAATATAAAATCTAAGACTTTTAAGTCAAGAGTTAAAATTGTATATATACGGTTATTTGAATAAATTAACAATTAAAAGATAACAAACAAAGTGACAAAACCCAGTGTTGAGAATAGTGAGTGTGGGATAAGCCCTTACAAATCATATCTGATCTCCAGAAGCAAGTTAGCTTGTGTGGAATTAAGGAATTATACCAACTTCACTATTCGCATTGAGTACAATTGAAAACAAGTTAACAAATTAGTTAAAATTTAAAGAAAATTTACAAATAGAGGGTGACTGTGAAAAATATATTGAAATTTGAATCTAGAATACAATAGTTAATATGAAAAAGGTTAAACGCAGAAGGCCAAAGTAAAAAAAAACTGAAGGTTATTTTTATACATTATAATTATAAAAAAGTCTACCTACTGTCCACAACGTATCCAACAAGTTCCTGGTCATCCTCACTCCCAAAATTAGATATTTCGGGATATTTACAACTTGCTAAATCATATTATTGCTATTAGTAATATTTTCAAATTTAAATTTCTTTATATATTCATTTTTATTAAAATTGTTTAACGGTGTCCACATGACAGTGGTGACAAGCGACACTTAAAGACGTTGACCTGTCAAATGTCAAGAGAGGAGGTGCGTTCACCTCAGTGTGGAACATGTTTCTCCAAGTGTGATTCGAGTGATTGGAGGTGGTTAACGGAGATCAAAATTTGTTAGTATTGAATTTAAAGATTTGATTTATTGTTAGTTAAATTTAAATAAATGTTTAATATGAAATGGTATTTTTATTTTTAATGATCCTTTTGATGTCAAGACAAAACAAAAATATCACTCGCGTGATTCTGATGTGCCAGGCCGGGCTCTGTAGAACTTTATTCCGAGAACCCAAGATTGCACAACTGAACCCGCGGGCCCTAGAGGTGAATCTAATGTTTAGTCCTAAAAATTCTAAATCACTCAACAAGCGTACTCATGGTTAAAAGAGACAAAATAGAGAACAAAAAAGTTTTTAATCAAAAGAGTACCATGGTCCCAAAGGTAGGCTCTGATGGGTGAAATCGAGTTTAGGAGGGGATGGCTCTCAAAGGCTTGTATTGAGCGACTCGGACCTACATCATCATAGAGGGTTAATTGATTTGTCTATGGAGTGGTATGAAATTTCTGTTAAGGTTCACTTGAGTGTTGAGCCAGAGGATATTGTTGTCTCTTTCAAGAGTAATTTCAACATCTTCATGAAAATCTATTAAATTGAAATTTTTTGTGTTTAAGTTAACTAATAATTTGGAGTTTTTTGTTGGGCTAAAATTATGTTGATTGAACTTCAAGTGACGTCCGAATGCAGATGTGTCCGGCTTCTTGATGTGCTCGCCTATCCGGACTCCCAGAGATCTACAAGTTCTGCCGATATAACTGGCATCGCGATCGCTGCATTGCAACCTGTATACTCCACTCTTATCTAACAAATTCGTTTTGTCTTTTGTATTGACTAGATGAGAGTCTAGTTTATTAATTGATTTAAAAGATACTTTGATGTTATCTACGTTGTTAGCAAAAATTTTTGAAATGCTCTTAGCTAAGTTATTATCCCAGAAAGGGATCGATATGTAAAAATTATTAATATGACTCAAATTAGGGTAGGCTAATTTTTGAATTTTCTTGAACTTAATTTTGGTGATTAGAGATTGGATTATGTCCGGGTCATACCCGTTATTAAATGCAATTTGTTTAAGTATATTTAATTCTTGAAGATAATTAGTTTTATTTAGAGGGATTGATAGAAGTCTATGAATATAGCAATAGAAAGCAGACATTTTATGTTGGTGAAAGTTATATTTTTAAACTCAGCTCATCGATACCTTTCCAAGGATATACTACACCATGTATTAGTGAGGTCATAATAAAAGTTAACCAAAAAATAAATAATAAACTTACCGAGATAAATAACGTCATGTGCACATAGTGTTTTTAACTAATGCTAAATTCTCTAAAATTTCTATAAGAACATAGAAATGTTGGGTGGTATATGACACTGTCAGAAAATTTGCTATCAGAACACAAAAACCTATCAATCATAAAAACCTACAATTTATGCAAATTAAAATAACATTTTATTAGTTAGATTAGTTAAATTCTAACCAAATTTTTAACAAAAACATTAAACTTGACATATACGTTTTTAGTTTTTTTTTTAAATATTGTTTGCAGGTCATAAAAATAGTTTAAAATTTGTAATTCGTAACTAAATGATTATATACTTGATACATGTTATCTATTTACTATAGGAATATATTATTTATAGCCGTTCAAAAACTATATAACTTAGGTAAACAAAACGAACAAAACGCACTTTAAAAGTCTGCTGTCACCGTAATTTTCAATAGAATCTTAATTAAATCATCATTAATGTAGCATATTTATGGAGCTCAAAAAGTGTCCAAAAAACATTCTGCTCTACTAAAAAATTGACTAAAATGGCATAGTGCAGTTTACCTCCGAGGTACAGAAAGTAAATAGCAAAAAGGTGTGACAAACAATAAAACAGTTATTTTGACAGAAGATAATCTGTTAGTAACAAAAATAGTAAGCAGCCTAAAGAATAAAAGCTAAAGTGACGGGTTTAAAGTATTCCTAATAAAGGCCTATTTTTAGTGGTTGGATATCTCTTGCTAAATATTGTAAATAGTGCCCCATCAAATGTGCCGCGACAAATGAGCTTCATGTTAGAATCGCTCACGACATATGTGAATGACAAAATTAATGTCAGATGCAAATTTCATCTGTGTTAATGTTGGTATAGAAACATTTTAATGGCTCTGCAGAGGTTAGGTAGGTTAGTTAAGTTTTTTACTTTCCTGTCTGCATACAGATAAGGAAAGTAGAGAAAACATGATTTTTTTCGAATCCATTTTTGTAATAATGTCTGTGTGTATCTGTATACTCGATAACTCATGAACGGACACAGAGAAAAACACTAAATTTTATACTTAAGCTTTAATCCATCCGGCGGTGAGCTGATTAGATTTTGGTTTTTCTACTTTATTTACGCTTGAAGAAGAAAATTCTTTAAATAAAAGTTGCTTGTAATGTTATTTTATATAATTTTTGTCCTATACATAATTTTCCTAAAATGGTATGTATTCGAGAAATTTAGCAAAAAGTGCAAAATTCGTATTTTTAAGAAAATTGTTCAAATAAAAATTGTTTGCGATATTATTCTCTATCATTTTTGTTCCATACATGATTTCTCTAAAACGGACCGTAATGGAAAAATTGAGAAAAAGTAAAAATTTTGCACTGGAGGGACAATTAACAAAGGAAAGATAGTTTTGAGTGTATTGCGGATTTAAAGCGTGCTTTCAAACTGTTATTCTTTAAACTACAGAAATATGGTATAAAATCAGGAACCATAGAATTAATCCACAACAACCACTACCACCAAACTAAAGTAGATAGTAGTATGTCCAATGTAACGGAATGTAATTTTGGTGTGCCACAAGGCAGTATTCGACCCTTTATTGTTTAGTATACAACTGTCAAAAAGGACGGGTTACAAAAATCGTATGTAAGATTCACTATTTAATTTAGTTTTTTTATTTATACAGTGTTGTCGACCTAATTGTAAAATCGCCTAGTTTCTAGTCATTCAGTACTTTATCTTACCATGAAGTTTAAATAATGTTAAAATTAGTATTAAAATGTTAACCTGCTTACTGGACTATAACCTCACAGAAGGAACTGTAATAATAGTGTATGGACCAAGAACCAAGTAAATATCCAAGTTTCAGGCGGAAAAGCATGCCTCAGAGAAATTTATCTAGTTCAATATTAATAAAAACTATCACAGACAAGATATTTTCATCATGTCGACATAAAAACGTTGAGCTCAAAAATGGTCTAGACGTGCCTAGAAAAACAAAATGAGCTAGGAGAGAAAAATACATTTACTCTTGAGCCCGTGGGCGCTGTGTCGCAAGGAAAGGGGCTCAAACACACTTTGTATGGCCTGTGCTGTGCTTCTGTATCAGCAAAATAATATTAAATTAAAAAAAAAATTGGGCGGTAGGAGAACTGACAATTAGAACGATCTCTTGCACAACTAAGGTTAAGATGCAGTACTTATTATTTTGTATTAGACATAGCCGTGCATTCACAGCGAACATGTGGCAACTACAATATCCCCCACTATCTCTCTGTTTTAGTCACTGATATTCGCTTCGGCTGATATCCCACCACCACATCTTGCTGAGCACTTGTGTTGTTGTTATAATATGGACAGGAATTAAGAGGAAACCTGGATTTCAAGTATTAAAACGCTAAATAAGCCTAAAATAATAGAAATTCTTTATAAAATAGCCGAAAAAACTCAATAAAAATCAAATAGTACAAAAAAAGATGAAAAATTTAAAAAACGAGAAAAAACAACTGAAATCTGTTAAATATCATTGATAACATGTAATTCTGATTAAAAATTACTATAGAGGTAAATAAAATAAAAAAAAATATTTTTTACATAAATAATAGAAATTCATTATTAAATAGCCGAAAAACCCAAATAAAAAACAAATACATAGTACGTAAAAATACTAAACAATCGATAAAAACAACTGAAATGTATTAAATATCATTTACTACATAACATAGGAATGCAGTGAGGCACTAAAAATTGGTTAAAAAATTATTTACAAAGCAAGGACAGTGGTCTTAAGAGCTTTACGTTCCTTAGCTTTAACTTGCTCTGTAATTCTTTTAAATTTCTTCTGCCTTGTAGGGCGAGTTTCCTACCACCATCAGCAGATTTTTCAAACAACTTTACTGCTTCTAAGCTCTGGTGGGCCTTGCGACCAATAGTATCTGCAGATATGCAGAAGTAGGAATGTTTGGTGCAATTTCTTTTACATGAACCAAACATTTTGGTTACTGAACAGGCGAGCAGATATAGATGTGTCTGGCACTAGCAGCACACCTAATGTAGTACCAATAAATGTTTACCCATTCTAATACAAGAATTTGACCAGATTTTTTTTAGGAAAGAAGTGAAAGCTTTGACGAATTTGTGTTGATCCGTGTCCGTTAGGGCAACAGATGTCTTTTTTAGCTGTCCCTGTCAAACTACGCACGATGAAGAATATTACTACGACTTTCGTAATACCAATTTTACTTCCATACGCCAGTATTTTGAAGCCATTGACTGGGACATACTCCTTCGTAATAAAGAACTCTTTGATATGGTAAATACTTTCTATGAGGCACTGTATTCAGCATTGGAATTATTTGTTCCACTTAAAAAAATATCAATAAAAATTTTTCCATGCTGGTATCCACCGTATCTTAGAAAGTTGATTTATGATAAGAAGATTGCTCATAATATTTTTAAAAGTACGAAATCTCCTGAAAGTTATACCTTATTTAGTAGTCTAAGAGCTCGCTGTAAACTCTTGTCCAAAGAGTGTTATTCAAGTTATGTAAACTCTATTCAAACCTCTGTTAAAAGTAATATTAAGGCCTTCTGGATTTTTGTTAACAGCAAAAAAGAGAATATTGTTATTCCAGATAAAATGAATTCAGATGGATTTAAAATTTCCTCGGGCTCGGAAATGGCTAACTTATTTGCCGACTATTTTTCTTAAGTCTACACCAATCAGAATATTGATCAACAGAATTGAACTTGGTTGCCTATGCTAACTTAAATTCGGAAGCCCTGGAGATGGGGTGTCAGGTAGATACCGTATACACCGACGTTTCCAAGGCTTTCGATAGAGTGAACCATGAATTATTAATTCACAAACTAAGTATATTTGGTTTAGGTGGCATATTGTTGCAATGGATTAAAAGCTATCTTCTTAATAGAACTCAAATAGTCAAAGTAAAACGTTACTATTCTCATCATTACTCTGTTACTTCTGGAGTTCCCAAGGTTCTCATCTGGGACCCCTTCTTTTTAATTTTTTTTATTTTTAGCAGATGACCTAAAATTTTTCCAAATCGTCAACAACTTTAGAAATGCTATCGATTTACAGTATGATATTAATCATTTATCCGATTGGTGCAAATACAATGGCATGGATTTAAATGTGGGAAAATGTCACATTATTCGGTTCCATTGTTCTCAACAGCCCACTATATTTGACTACACAATCAATGGCCAACTTTTAGATAGTGTTAAACAAATTAAAGATCTTGGAGTTATTTTCGATACAACCCTTAGCTTTAACCACCACATCTCTTCAGTTACAAGTAAATCTATGAAAATGTTAGGATTTATTAAAAGAACGACCCGCGACTTCACTGATATAACTGCTATTAAAACTATTGTACTTTAGTTAGGAGTCACCTCGACTATTGCTCTTCAATGTAACGTATAAATTAAAAATCGATCGTGTTCAGAACAATTTCCTTAGATACATAGCCTTTAAATTACAAACGTTTTATGATTATGCTACAATGAAGCAGTTTTTAGAAATACCATCTCTGGAAACCAGGAAAAAACATGAGACCTGATTTTACTTTTTAATATTGTTAATGGAAAATTAATCTTTTTGTTCCTACTCGTAATACCAGGCAATCACCATTATTTTATATTCCTTTTTATAGACTTAATAGTACTTTTAACAGTTGTATTCCTCGGATACTTAGACTGGCAAATTCTCTGGATAATATTATAATATTTGATTCCTCTGTAAATAGATTTTGGCACAACATTCAAAATACACCAATGTAATTTTTATCAAGTTATTGTTACCTAAATGGGCTTGCCCGTAAATATAGATAAAAAAAAATATCGAAAAAAAAAAACTGGTCATTAAAAAGCAGCCAGAAGTAAACATACCTTGCTAGTTACACTAGGATTGGAGGGGACACGAAACCTCTGGTTTTTCCTAGGAAACGTCCCGCCAGATTCCAACAAATCGGGCTGCCTTCGAGAAGTAGCTACATCAACTGAAGGACTATGGATGTGGTGAAACGGTTCGAAACTAAAACTCTCCCTGGACTGATTCAGATGAGGGATGTGATGCGTTTGGTAAGGAATATGAAAACGCGGCGACATATATAATTGACTGTGTCCCCGCGAATAGATTTGGCCCTTATCTGGGTGAGCTCCAACTATACTATCTCGTTCAGAATCAGATCCATATTTAGAAATTGCTGAAAATGACAAAAATATTTTACTAACTTCTGACTATTTGATTATAAAGAGTTTCGTGTTGTTTCTACTGCAAAAATATAAGGCAAAAATCTAACGTCTCACTTAATGTTGCAGCAAAAATTTTATCAGAGACAAGGTAAGAAAGTTTAAATTGTTTTTGAAGTATATTTAGTGTATATCACATAAAGTTGTTATACACCTAGTCATTTATAGAACCTTTTAAATTATCATCTGATGAAATTTTTTTAGTGTTCAATAATAGTAATATTTTTTCTTCATCGCGAGGATTCCGAATTTAAAATAAAAAGATTTTATTACTAATAAGAATTTCGAAATGTTATGCTACATTGTGGAAAATTACTTACGTATTAGAACATTTTATAACAATTTTATGCAACTAATAAGTCAGAAAATCTGCTTGTTTGTCTATATATATTTCCACCAACTGAAGATTATTATATCTCATTTTTGTTTTATTTTTAATTCACCCAATAATTCACATTCATTGTCGAAATGAACCCTAAGACAATTTTCAAAAGATATTACAACAAACTTTAAAATAACAGAAAATAATTCCAAATTTAAATGTGACCAAGGTGTAAAATAAATCAAATATAAACTCAAAGCCATTTGTCACAATAATATGAGAGATCGTTTCTCTCCTGAAAACAACTACTCCTTTGGCTAATACTGCAACAGGTATTGAATTATCTCAAAAGAAAAATTGCAGAGTTGGAAAAATTGCAGAGTTAGAAAACTTTGATTTTGCTTACTAAGGACCGATTTCGTTCTTGTTATGACTCATCAGCAAGAAATAGACATTATCGATTCCACTCTCTAATTGAATACATGTCTAGCGGCTGTGTGAGAAACTAAGTTATATAGTAACGCCATCTACACTTAGTAAGTAAATTAAAAGCTTGTTTTGATGAAGTCCGTACTGCTGCTCGATCCTGACAAGGATTAGTACTTTTTCGAGATCCTCCTCCGTGTCGGTAAGCAGCAGTACCATTGTTACTTTCTCTCTGCAATGCTCTTCCGATGATTTTTTGACATTAAGGAACTCGGAAATCTCTTTTATTGTGTGATTTCTCTGCCGCAATCTTAAAACATTCACCAAATCTGCAGCCTTAAGTCGCACCATTTGGACGATATCAATTTATTTTTATTTTGACTTATGTAATCTCGTCGAAACTTTATCGCTATGGTAATATTTTTGTCGCCTTCTTAATAAAAATGCAGAAATAAAGTTTCGTCAAAGCAAATGTTCCGACTTTCTACGACTAGTTTATTTTGTAATACAGTACTTATTATTTTGTATTAGGCATAGCCATGCTTTTACATCGATCATGTGGCAACTATGATATCCCCGCTATCGCTATGTTCTCGGTTCGGCTAATATCCCACCGCCAAATATCTTCTAATTCTAGTCGCCCCCGACGACTGGCTGTTGCCCTGTTGCCATTTTATTAACTTGTATACTAGTCGTATGCCTATCACAAAAAAATAAGCACTGTATTTCTATATTAATTTGTAATATTTCTAAAAATTATTATTATTAAATTACTTTACTAATTCTTGACATTAAATTACTGCCTATTATTTCCGGATTCAATTATTTATCTATATGCAAAAGCAACGTACTATTTTTGCAGACACCTTATATAAGAAAATAAAGAACAAATGGTAAATAATACATACATGATCTATTATTCTTCTTACAGTAAGTCATCACTTCTTTGTCAACAAATCTATGAACGGGAAAATCCAAACTGTTATCAGAATTGACATTGACACTAAGCCTATTATTATTATTGCTGGACTTCAATCTCTCAAAAGAATCAGTCGCCATGCCGAACTGGTGGGAATTATCGACGCTTTTATACACTGAGTGTCGTGAGTATATAGGTTGAACGGGAGTCGGAGATATTAGAGATAGAGGCACTGGAGTGGAATTTCTATAATTGTAGTTCTCTAGTTGATTATTTTTTGGTGCTAAAAGTGATAATGGAGGTCGCTCTTTGGTTCTCGTAACGACGGTACCGCCGTTGGGTGTGATTATTGGTGCCGCTCTAGCTTTTGGCCAAGTTCCTCCATTACTTTTGTCCTCTTTTGTTTGAGAAAAATGCTTCTTTACTACTAAAAAGAAAAAATAAAGAATGAAATGAAATAAATGGTTCAAATCTGTAAATGTGTGTTTAGTTACCTCCAGATCGTTTCAGAGTACCAGGATGGTAGCTATCAATTACCAAATCCAGTTCAGCAATGGCTTGCTCGTGTCCATAATCAATAGGATTGGGTGAACTATTTGTATACTTTTTCTTTTCTTCCTTGGGATGTCTCCAAGGTCCTCTCATCATATCTAACTTCTCTTTCAACCAGGCTCCGCTGTTGTTTTTCTCTTGGCCGTTATATTTGGCGTCATGCAACAACCATTCTTCAGTTTGAGAACTGCGATTTTCTTTTTTGTGTCTTCGGACGGGAGTAAAAACGTTTGGACACTCCGGGTAGCTCATTTTTAGCGTGGTGATATTAATGACGACACTGGAATCGCTGTTTAAAATTTGCATTGCTTCATGGGCACTTTCGATGTCATCCATTGATTTATCATTTATCTGTAAGTGTATTTTTATTGAAAACAATGTGCACAAGTATTAAAACAGATTATATTTAAAATATGGCGTTTATAATTTTAGTGAGTGTTGCATTCAATGACGATTTGGTTTTAGTATATAGAGCTCTGCAGGAGAAAATGCTCATCAAATAAAAGTACTTTATGGCGTACGTTTGTTTATAGCAACATCAGCATTTCATGGCAATATGTCATCGTCAGTACATCGTAGCTAGAGAATAATTGGAAAAAGATCTAATAAAGTGAGTTGGTGTCGAATTAATAATTAGGTCGCTGGATGTATAATGTTTTGGTGGTCTAATAGTTATGTGTTAGGACAGTAACCCAAAGTTACAGGTTCGAGCCGTGCTCAGAGTGGATTTTTTCAAAACAATTTTCCAATTTTTGTTTGGTTTATCACTTCTTGGATTCTGAAATTTATTCCTGAATTCTTTCACTTGTCCAACAAAATTCTCGGAATAAATCTTTTATACTTTAATGCAATGCTTAACATAATAACAAAGAGCTAAATAAATATTTTTCTGTTCTATAGTTGGATACAAGAAATGTTCTATACAGGGTATCTCGTGACTCGATGTGCATAGCTTAAGCGCGTATTTTTTTGGACAATTTCAAGTAAAGAATGCCTTGTAAATTTTTGTCCAAAACCAATAGTTAAGGAGTAATGGGTAATATAATATTTATAAATGGAGAGTGAAAAATATAATTTTTATTAATTTTTATTAAGTTTTATTAATTTTTATTAATTTTAGTTTATTTTTATGATACTACCATACAAAAATCTAAAAACCACAGAGCACGTCGTTATTTATTTATGCTACAATTATAATTTTCAAGTTCCAACGTTCACAAAATTTATACTTCTATTCAAATTTTCATCCCCGTTTCCCCCCCTTAAAATGTGAAAATCCAAAAACCATGAAACACACCATTTTTGATTTTTAGTCAGTAGCTGTAATTCAATTTTTTATGTTTCAAACTTTAAATAACAAAAAAATATATACATACTATTAAACAAATTTTCACTTCCCATTACCCCCCTTAAAATGTTGAAATGCAAAAACCCTGAAACACTTCATTATTTATTTATGATGAGAACCTACAATTCCAATTTTCAACTTCCTACCTTTAAAAAAAATCGATATTTCCAAATAGACTTTCACCCCCCCCTCCCCCCGTTTCCCCCCCTTAAAATGTTAAAATCCAAAAACCCTAAAACACGCCATTATTAATTTGTACTCATTAGCTGCAATTCCAATTTTCATGTTTCTAACTTCAAAGAGAACAAAAAAATATATACTCCCATACAAACTTTCTCCCCCTGTTTGCCCCCTTAAGATGTAAAAATATAAAAACCCTAAAACACATTATTATTAATTTGTATTCAGTAGCTGCAATTCCAATTTTCATGTTTTTAACTTTAAAGAGAACCAAAAACATGGATACTCCCAAATAAATTTTCACCCCCCATTTCCCCCCTTAAAATGTGAAAATCCAAAAACCCTGAAACACGTCATTATTTATTTATGCTTAGTAGGTGTAATTTAAATTTTCATGTTTCTAACTTTGAAGAACAAAGAGTTTCATTAAAAGCTCCTTCCCCCATTTCCCCTCTTTAAAGTAAAAATTTCCAAAAATCCTTTCTTAGCGGATGCTTACGTTATAAAATAAACCTATATTTCAAATTTCAGCTTTCTAGGCTAAGTAGTTTTGGCTGTACGTTGATAGGTTAGTCAGGACAAACAATTTTATATATATAGATTGCTAACACAAATCTCTTGAGCTATGCAGATCGAAACCCTGTATAATTTCCCTCAAAGTGGTAGAAACATATTCTGAACAATAAAAAAAGGACTTACTCGAAGAACCCTATCACCAACTGTTAAACTCTTATCCCTAGCTGCCAAACTTCCTTCACTTATTCTATTAATGTAAACACCCATTTTTAATGACAAACCATGACATCCCGGTACGAGTCTTGCACTATGAATCCATTTGGTGACTTGATCACTTGTAGCTTCATTTCTCACACATCTATTTCTTTTAACCAATAGCCTCGCAAGCGGCATACTCGATCTAATGGCCTCCGTGACCATTCTTAAAGAGCCTTGGCTGCAATCTATGTCGTTCACTTTAAGTATCCTGTCATTCTGGAATAATTTGCCCTTAGCGGACGAGTCTGAAGCTACAGATGCTACATACACGTAGCCGTCACCTATAATATTGAAATAATGATTTTTTTGTTTTTTAATTTGTAACATATTTTAATCATTTACCTGACAATTCTCTTCCACTTGCAAATTCCAGTCCATCTTCATCAGCTGACGTTAACTCCAGTTCTACAACCTCCGTTCTTGAATATTCCTGTTGGTAATCTGGAGCTGGCAATCTACTTTCTCTTTCTAAATGTAGTTCTACAGCCTCTCTCAGGGATTTGGTTTCTTTAACTAATTCGTTGCGTTGTTTTTTTACAGCATCAGATTCGCGTAGAGATTCGGCAAGCTCAGATACGGCTCGGTCACGTTCCTTCCTCATATTATCACAAAGGGTTCTAATACTTTCACGTTCCAAAACAATTTTATCCCGTTCGCTGAAAGCCCAATCTCTGCGACCTTAAATAAAATAATTTAGATAAAATATATAGTATTAATTATGTATCTCACCTTTAGAGACTTCTGCCTCTTGAACGGCCTCAGCGAGTTCACTTTGAGCTTTGTCCAGACTCTTTCTCAAATTCTCAAGTTCCTGATTGGCTTGATCTAAGTTATCTAAACGTTGTCTTTGACTTATCGAATGTACATTCTCTCGCAAGTGCTCTTTACAACCTTGTCCATCACCGAGAGCACCCAAGCTATCTATAAGGCGCCCTCGAGACTTCTTAGTTTGGTCTCCTAACATGAGCAATCCATTCTCGGAAGTAGCACCGAATTCGCCGAATTTTTCTCTTAAATCGTTGCATTCTTTTATTGCTTTGTCACGTTCGTGTAAGGCACTAGCGATTTCGCGTCTTAGAGATTCAAGTTGATATGTGAGATTTCTTTTTTCCTCTTGTAGTTCTTTGTTAGATATATCGAGAAGTTTATTCTTTTTAACTGATTGAGCCAAATCATCACTCAGTTTTTCCATTTCCTTGTGGACGGTATCCCTATTAAAAAATTTAGGACTAAATTAAAAATATTTTAATCTGATAATTGCTTATATAGTAGAGATGACCTGTATATGGAGGATAGAGACTTTACATTTACCTTTGATTCTTGAATGATTTGGAATTGATTTTGAAATAATTGTTTAATAACTTTAAATTTTAAACTATTTTGTTTTTGTAATTTTTTGTAAGTATATATTTTTTTGTAATTTTATTTGACAAGCCAAAAAATGTTTGTGGCAGATAAAACAAATAAAGATTATTATTCTCATAAAGTATTCAAATTAAACTCACCGCTCACTCATGATAAGTGTATACTCAGCAGTAGTAGCATTTCTTTCATCAGTAAGTCTCTTAATATCCTTATTAGCTTTGATAGTGACATTAACGGCTTCATCGTACTGCTGTTGTAATTTCTGATGGGCTTCCCTATATTTCGCATAATCCTTGCAAAGTTTAACCAGCTGCTGCCTCAATCCAGAAACTTCCATCTGAGATTGAGACCTGTCTTGACTGAGAACTTCGCATTCTCTCATTAATCTCGCATTTTCATCTTGGGCGCCTTCCAGTTTAGAAAGCGCTTGCGTATGAGATAGGAACAGACTCTCGCGTTCCGACAGGTCTTTGCAGAGCCTTTGGTTTTCAGATTGCAACTGTTTGTTTTCATTTAAAAGTTCTGCGTATTTCGTTCGAAGGGATGCCGAATCTTGGGAGGAAACTTCTAGCTGATTCATCACAGCTCTGTGTTGTTCACGGTAGTAATCTAAGTCCTATAAAAATTTGTAAACTAAGTGTGTAAATAATACAAAAAAAAAGATTGAACAAGGGAAAGATATTATTCTTTTATATTTAAAAATTAAAATGTACTGATTTAATTACAGGGACGACAAAACAAAAAATATAGTGCCAATGAATGCTGGACCAGGGGAACGGGGGCAAGCATCTCGTCCTTTCTCTACGGAGATGGGACAGAACACGAGTCCTAATACCTCAGGGACGGCAAAAAAAGCATAGCTAAGACTGTGTCCAGCGAGCAGGGACGAACCGGGCTCAAAAGAAAAACAGGTCCGATACCAGCACGCGTAAATAAAGGAAAAATAAAAAGGGCTAAGGATGCGAGAGCTGCGGGTTCGAGATCAACTGGTACATCAAATGTGGGGCCAGATGGAACCGAGCCGGTAGCATCGTGTTCTTATGCCTCTAAGGTAAGCAATATTGGGGTAGCAATTGTACCAATAGACTATACCAATAATATATTAACAACGGAGCAGGGAGACCTAATAAGGACTGCACTGCTCGACAGACTTGAAGAACTAGACGAAGGAGGACTTTCACCCAGGTTCTCCGAAGCTAGGATAAGAAACGGAAATAAACTTTTCTTGCGTTGATCAAGCAACGAGAGATTGGGTTGAGCAGACCGTTAAAACCATGGCACCTTGGAATGGTGCTAAACTCAAAGTCATAGACTCTGGGGAAGTAAAGAATCCCAAGTTTACTATGACATGGATACCAGGTCCCGCAGTGGAACCGGACAGAATAATGAAGAGACTGAGAATCCAAAATTCGGGGCTCCAAACGGGGAACTGGAGGGTTACTGGAAGGAAGTTGGACCCTAGGGGACAGCAACTTTTCATAACCATGCATTCTGTCTCTTGGGAGAAGATAAAGGAGAAGCAAGGAATAATGTTCCTGAATTTCTCCAATATCTTGACAAAAAAATTAAGGTAATCCAAGCAAATATACATCACTCTTGGGCGGCAACAGCTGTCCTACAACGATGTATAATAAAACAAGACACTATTCTTGCTCTAATCCTAACCCGAATTAGAGGGTTGCATATAGAGCAAGAGCCCGTGAGAGCCAGACCTTCGGAATTTTATAAAAGCTGAGAGTTCTTCTGTGTATGTCCCCAATACAGGTAAGAATGATCCCCGCCCATGAAACCTGAGTAGTGGTGGCTTTGGCAGGTAACAGGTAGCAAAGGTGCATAAAATTCCACCTCAAATTTATTAATTTATAAAACTCAATTTTTTTATATTTTATTCGTAATAATATTAAAACTCGCGTTGCTCATTGCCAGACACTTGATATGGTTACAACCGTCTGCCAGACACCCCTGAACTATTATAATTTGTAACTATACTTACGTTATATTATAAAAGCTAAATTTTATATATATTATTTGGACAACTATTAAATAATGTTTCCTTAATAGCCAGACAATTTCGAGGGTTATATCGTCCTGCCAGACGTATTAAATGTGTACAATAGTTATGAGTTAGAGCAGCATATGCAGCAACGGGTGTGAGTGAAATAGAGCGTGCAGTCTATTGCGATCTTTTACTGCGCATCTACTGTTGTTTATTCCGAATTATTTAGTAATATTTTTCTAATTTTTTGAGAAATTTCATTGAATAAAATTATTACAGTTTGAATAATAAATTTTTAAAATAATATTCCTGAAAATTTTATAATAAAATATCAATCATATCAAAAATCTAGTAACTCAATTCATGTTATTTTTAAATTTTATAAAGTTTATTATATTCAATTCAACTGAAATTTCAAAGTCATCAAAATTTTATTGTTTATTATACGAAAGAATAATTTTTTTGTGAGTTAGAAATTACACAGAAAAATAATACAACGTTTAATATACGTTTGATGTACGTTTACTATGAGCATAACCGCGCACTACATAATACACAATGAGCAGCTGATGCGCAGTAAAAGATCGCGATGCGCTAGTTCAGTCATGATGTAATTATGGTTCCACTGACAATTAAAGTTACAGTAGATTTTTTGAGTGCGTTTTGTTCGTTTTGTTTACCTAAATTACGAGGATGTATCAGAAAATAACGAGACTGGTGCTATAGTATAACAACGAAAAATTTATTTAAAAAAATTCAACAACTATCCTTCGAAGTACTCTCCATTCTGTTGAATACACTTATCCCATCGCTTTATCCACTTATCATAAACTTCTGAGAAACCATTTTTTGATAGTCTGTTTAGTATACCCATCACAGCGTTGTTGAGCTCTAAATCCGACTCAAATCTTCTACCTCTCAATTCTTTTTTGACTTCAGGAAACAAATGGAAGTCACATGGAGCAAGGTCAGGAGAGTAGGGGGGATGAACCATAATTTCAACCCCTAATTCTTCAAATGTTCGTTGACAAATCATTGATCTATGAGCCGGAGCATTGTCGTGATGCAGCGTCCAGCCAAAGTCCTGATAAAGCAGCCTTTTTTTCTTTAATTTTGCATTTAAGGGTCCTCGAAGTACATTAGAATAGTACTCCCCTGTTACTGTATGTCCTCTAGGTACAATGTGATCGTAAATAACGCCAAATTTATCAAAAAAAATCAGGTGCATCACTTTACCAGCGCTTTTAGCAGTTTTGGCCTTCTGCGGTCTTGGGCTGCCTTTATGCTTCCATTGCATACTTTGAGACTTTAATTCAGGATCGTAATGATAAAACCAACTTTCGTCACATGTAACCACATTATTTAAAAACTGTGGGTTACGTTGCAATTGACTTTTCCACTGTTGACAAATTGTCACTCGATTCGCTTTTTGTTCATCGGTCATCACTTTTGGAATCCATCTTGCCGCGATCTTCCGGTACTCTAAATCTTCAGGAATAATTTTTTGAGTGGTACCGTAAGACAAATTAACATTGTCAGAAATTCGTTTTATGCCAATCCGGCGATCATTTTGTATCAAGTCGTTAATTTCTGCAATTTTTGTGTCATTTCTCGCAGTTTGTGGTCGACCGGGACGAGGTTCATCTTCAACTGATTCACAACCGTCTTTAAACTTTTTATGCCACTCAAACACTCCACATCGTGATAAACTATTATCTAGATATGCACCTTTAATCATTTCAAAAGTTTCAGTTGGTGTTTTATCCAATCGAACACAAAATTTTATCGCGTATCTTTGCTCCACTTTCATTTTTCGATGGGTACGCAAAACACTGACAATTCAATAATTAATTTGTAACAAATGTCAAAAGTTAAATCAAAGCCTACTTGCGGGGTAGTACATTAAATATAAGGCTTTCATGTCTCATTTTTTGGGTTATAAAATGTTACCTCTGAAAGAAGTTATAGCACCACTCTCGTTATATACTGATATATCCCGTATATCGTTTTTTCAATTTTATAAATATATTCCTAAAGTAAGTAGATAGCATGTATCAAATATACAATCGTTTAGTTACCAATTACATACCTTTAAACTATTTTTTATGACCTGTAAACAATATTTTGAAATAAAATAGAAACAGTAAAAACGTATATGTCAAATTTATTGATGTTTTTGTTAAAAGTTTGGTTAGAATTGTGGAACCAAAATGACATCACACTGAACTAGCGCAATAGACTGCACGCTCTATTTTACTCACACCCGTTGCTGAATATGCTCCTCTCACTCATAACTATTGTACACATTTAATACGTCTGGCAGGACGATATAACCCTCGAAATTGTCTGGCTATTAAGGAAACATTATTTAATAGTTGTCCAAATAATATATACAAAATTTAGCTTTTATAATATAACGTAAGTATAGTTACAAATTATAATAGTTCAGGGGTGTCTGGCAGAGGGTTGTAACCATATCAAGTGTCTGGCAATGAGCAACGCGAGTTTTAATATTATTACGAATAAAATATAAAAAAATTGAGTTTTATAAATTAATAAATTTGAGGTGGAATTTTATGCACCTTTGCTACCTGTTACCTGCCAAAGCCACCACTACTCAGGTTTCATGGGCGGGGATCATTCTTACCTGTATTGGGGACATACACAGAAGAACTCTCAGCTTTTATAAAATTCCGAAGGTCTGGCTCTCACGGGCTCTTGGACTAATATATCAGAGGACTATGACATGATTCATTCAGCGTCTGGACACCCAAGAACCTGCATTATTGCAAATAAAAGCTTGAAGGTGTTTCCACTATAGGAATTTTGTAAAAATGACCTAGTGACAATATCCCTAAAGCTATACGGAGGAACTAATCTAATTGTTGGATCCGTATATCTGCCATATGACCAACATGGGCTCCCCCCACCAAGGAGGTGAGATAACTGGTTAGTCACTGTGAAAAAAAAAATACAAAATAGAACTTCTTCATGGCTGTGATGCCAATGCTCAGCATATAGTATGGGGAAGCACTGACATTAATAACCGAGGAGAAGCTCTTCTGAAATGTATTGCTTCCAATAAACTAGAAGTTGCAAACGTTGGAAACCTTTGTAACATCTGTGCGAAGGGAGGTAATTGATATAACCCTTGGTACACAACGGGCGTGTTCATTGGCAAGGAAGTGGCACGTTCCAAAAGAAGCGTCACTTTCCTACCATAGCCATATCCTGTTTAATCTGGGTACAAAAACCTCGGGTTAGAAGACATATCGTAATCCTAGGACCTGTAACTGGGGGGCTTTCAAGGAAGAACTCAAACAGGGACTGGAGGACTGTCCCCCGACACCGAAGAATTCAGTGGAAGTTCAAAAAACGAGCAGAAGTTCGTAAACTCTAACCTGTCCAAAAGATCGGGGAACTGTGAAGCCTATAAGGCGTACCGGAGAGAATATGGCTATGCCATTAGGAAAGCCAAAGAAAATTCATGAAAGAAATTCTGTGACGGCATTGAAAGCCTTCCAGAATGTGCCAGACTCAGGAAAACTCTACAGAGAGATAAGCAAGGATGCATGGGATCTCTGAAAAATCAACAAGGAGAACTATTATTGACCAAGAGA